GTACGAGTATACTAAGGACTGAACTATAGAATGAATAGGAGAAACTAAACAAAAAATCATGCACTAGTGAAAGATATGGATTTGTTGATCGTGATTCGTATTCAATGCACGCGGTCCCACGTGGCCTACAAAGCGTGGAGTTTCGCTACGGATGCTGAGGCGTGTCAAGGGAGTGGGTGTGATTTCGGAGCCACGCCAGGCCTTGTTCCACTAATTATAGTCTCTTGCCGGCTTCTGTAATTGGTGAAAGACGGTCAGGGATCGGCGCCGCGTTTATCTCAGGCCCACACCCCAGGATCCACTGAGAACAAGACTGTAATTCAGTGGACAGCTAGTCGGGTTCGTTTAAAGGAAATCCAGCATTTTGAGCTCGACAAGTGGATGATGTAGGAGGGTTCGCTGGGAGATGATCCAGCAATTTGCTTTCTACACCTTTGGCAGTCCTAGCCTGCCTTTCTAACGTGAACTGCCTGAACTACCCATTCGCTAAGGGCTAGATCAATGAGACTAATTGATACGTTAGATCACACTTATAAAATCTTACTTGGACTCTTGGAAAATACCCTTGCGTTCAATACTACTCTTTTCTGAATCCTCAAAGACATTACTCACGTTCATCGCAAAGCACTCCTGTATAACCAGGTATGCAGGAGCATGTGTTGCCCGGAATAGTACGATCAATAATAGGTATACAAGGTCCCATTTACACAGTCATTTGCATATTCGCATTTATTTGTAGCTGAAATATGTTGTCTCTTATTAAGCTGTTCATTGTGAATAAAGTACAGCAATGATCCCTGAAAAGTACACGGCGTATGAAGGGGCGTGATTTGAAGCGTAGCCAAGGCAGCCTTTCCCGCCAATTGTTGCGAATTCAGGACATTATTGGTGGAAAAGGCCGTTTAGGCTGCTTTCCAATCAATGCCCTTTACAGGCCATCGTTCTTCAGCACGCTCTACTCAATTGGGAAGTGTGTATTATACAACGTGTGCAAGAACGCCGTGTGACAGCTACAAAAATTCAGTCGATCAGTGCTCACACAAGTTATACATGTCGATCGAAGGCTGAACTGAAGACCCTCTGCTTTCTGCAGTACACGATGAGAGGAAAAGAAAACGGAAACACATAGCGTGA